TCCGGAATGCGCTGAGTCTACGTGGCTGCTTCTGGTGCTTCGGGATCCTACTTGGCAAAGAATCATGCTTCGTAATTAGGTTTGGACAAATAATAATGATATATTAATAATTAATAATTAATAATCTAGGTTAGGACATTCTATAAATACTATTTAGCTAACTTAGCTATTTTAACATCATTTGTACTAATATAACCCTTTAATTCCTTATAATTTTACATAGTGAGTCACTAAGTGACTAATATATCCCTGATTTTTTATTTGTTTTCTTCAATTAGCTACTGAATTGCAAATATATTTTAAAAGTTGATAACTTTTGTATTTCTTTTTGGTTTTACATATATAATATATCAAATTAATCACCTTTTGATGATGTTCGATTTGACATCCATATTGAATATATGAAATAAATAAATTATATTTATCTTTATAATAATAAAAAATAATAATATTTATTAAAATTCATTAAAAAAATAAAATTATTTCTCAATTGATGTTTAATGTAGTTATATGTTGTAAGTTATAAAATTATTACAATATAACACAGGTAAGTCGCACAAATGATAAGTTTCATACTTAATATATAATAATATATATATTTTTATAAAAGGTTTTAAATTTTCAACTATTTTTTATTATTAATTTTAGATTTTAAATAAAAAATTAGCAAGCACCCGTGTAATACACGGGCGTTGTACTAGTAATAATTATAATAAAACAAAGCCCGAATATCTTTCCCATTTTCTCCAAAACTTTCTGTTAAAATTTGGATCTCAGCACACACACAATACAGTTTCTGAACTTCTCTTTCTCTTGTTCCGATCAATTTTTTTTTTTTTTTTTAAAATTATATTGATGTATGGCGTCGACGGAGCAATTGATGGGCGGCGGCGGGCCGAAGTACGTGCAAATGCCGGCGGAGTCGTCATCGCCGCCGTCGGAGTTGACGCCGATGATTTCGACGTTCCTCTCGTTTGATCAGCCGAACAATCCGCACGACGAGTCGAATCGGATTTTCGACGAGTTGCCCCGAGCTTCGATTATTCAAGTTTCGCGGCCGGACGCCGGAGATATTAGCCCCGTACAACTGACTTACACGATCGAATTTCAATACAAAGAGGTTTGATATTGTTGGTTCTTTCTGGTATACGAATTCCTCTCATGTGATCAATGACCATTATTTATTTTGGCTGGTGGTGTTTATCTAGTCATTTTAGGAAGACTGGGGATGGTATAAGTTGCATAATTTGATTTCTGCAAGCCGATGTGGGTTTCCGTTGAGAGATTGTGTATGAATTCCTGGTAGATTTTATGGCATTAATAGCATAGATGTACTACGTTAGTGAAGAAGACGATGTTAATACTGTCTCTTTGTCTCGTGATCATAACATTTTGAAGATTTCTGTCTTTTTTTTTTTCTTAATTGAAATTTCTCATTTAACAATCCATCTAGAGCTGTTTTCTTTAGCTTCTATGTATTGAAGAGTAGGATGTTATTGGTTATATTGCTAATTGTCAGTTCAATTTTCTCTAGTTCAAGTGGCAGTTAGTGAAGAAAGCTTCTCAAGTTTTCTATTTGCACTTTGCTCTGAAGAAGCGAAAATTTATTGAGGAGATGCATGAGAAGCAAGAGCAGGTATATCTCCAACATTTTATCAAATTTCCAGACAATCAGTTAGCTTGATGATTGTTTGCTTCAGTTTAGAAGCATTGTTACGATTACCATGAACTTTTTCTTGTTTCATATTTCAAGTATTGGCAACCTTTAATTCGCTCTGGTTTCAACTTTTCAAAGGTCAAAGACTGGCTTCAGAATTTAGGATTAGGAGACCATGCACCAGTTATGCAGGATGATGAAGAGCCTGATGATGAGACTGTTCCTTTACGAAACGACGATATCCTTAGAAAGAGGTGCTTATTAGACAAGCGTGACTCTTCTAGTTCTTCAGAAAAGAGTGGCATGCTTTGATTGCTATTGTAATACTTGTATATCTTACAGGTGGTTTTTTGTTCAGAGATGTTCCGTCTAGTGCCGCTCTCCCAGTTATTCGGCCGGCACTTGGAAGGCAGCATTCTATGTCTGATCGAGCAAAAGGAGCAATGCAGGAATACTTAAATCATTTTCTGAGCAATATAGATATTGTGAATTCCCAAGAGGTGTGAGCCATATTATTTTCCATAAGCTTTGGTGGTATCTGTTATCTTCTTATGTAGAACTGTGAATGACATCTGGACATGTTCTTTCATTGGATTTTCGCTGTAACCATAAGAGCCAGGAAATTTTGTCTTTGGAATGAGGGGCAATGATTCTAGTTTGGGATGGTATTTATAATTTTATATTTTGATTTTGTTTTCTTGTGGTAAGGAGAGCTCGATAATCTGAGATTGTAGGGCTATTAACTGGAAGTTGGTAGAAAGGCTGTGAACCCCAATATTGTGCAAAACTAATATATGCAGCACTGTCTTTATTTATGTACTTTTTCATTGGCCTTCACTGTCATGTGATCTGATCGATGTGTCCTTGAACATATAATTATAAGCAAGTTTATCTGAACTCGTCAGTGACATCACAAATGTGTCAATGATTTTTTCCTAGGTAAAAAGGTATTTTCTTATCTTGTAGGCTAGAAACACTTCGCTTGCTCACTTGCAAATTTATGTGCGTTGTAGGTGTGCAAGTTTTTGGAAGTTTCCAAGTTATCTTTCTCCCCAGAGTATGGCCCTAAGCTTAAGGAAGACTACATTTTGGTGAAGCATTTACCAATGATTTTGGATAGTGCCGAAAACGGGAAGTGCTGTTCATGTCAATGGTTCTGCTGTTGCAGAGATAATTGGCAAAAGGTTTGTTCTTTCCTTAGTGATCTCCACATGAACTAACATGAACATATGTTGTGAATTTTTAGCGAGTACATGTATCTATCGTCTATCAGAATGCTCAACATACTTTTATGTGCTCCTTTTTATATATTGAGTGAAGTTGATTGAACTGCCTGCCCCTCAACACTGATGTTTATTTTATTTTTAACTTCTTACTGATGTGTTGAATTTTTTTACAGACAGGTTCTTCACAAAGTTGTTAATCCATTTACAAGTTTTTTCTGCATATTTAGTTTGTCATGTTATTGGTCCTTTTAGGCAGTATCCCATGCATCTCAAAGTAAAGCATCTGACACGAGGTCCAATCTAGGAAGGTTTTCACCTTTCCATGACCAGTCATATATGTCACTTGAATTGGATTACAAGAAGCTGACTACTGCTAGAATTTGTCCGTCTTCACTTGCATGTTTATTAACTTTATAGCCATCTACTCCACGGCGTACTAATATCCGAAAGGATGGCAATGGCTATCTAATATATATTTGAAAATTCTTCAGGTCTGGGCTGTCCTAAAACCTGGATTCTTGGCCTTTCTTAAGGACCCTTTTGAACCCAAGCCTTTAGACATCATTGTTTTTGATGTTCTACCAGCCTCAGATGGAAATGGAGAAGGCCGTGTATCTTTGGCAAAAGAAGTTAGCGATCACAATCCATTGCGTCATTATTTCAGGGTAAGCCATGGCTTCTGATCCAAATTTTTTAGCATGTCTATTTAGAGATCTCCGCCTCCTTAACAGTCAGTGCAGGTGATAATGGTATATCGTTTCGTCTTTGGAATCTACATTTGCCCAAGGAAATTAACTGAGGCTCGTCATGAAATTAATACTGTTTGGGATATTGAAAATTATTATTTAATGATTTTAAAACTGCAATGTAATTTGTTAGCAAATGATATTTTTGTGCTTCTAGATGTTTGTTGAGGTAGCCAGATGAATTTTTCAATTCAATAAATGAAACATTCCTAACTATACAGCTAGCTATTGTGGATAAGCTTACTACTCCTTTATTTGATGCCAATTTGGTCTTTCTTCTAACCAAGAGTTTGGGTATTCTGAAGCATTAGTTTCTTAGGCATTCACTATAAGATTCTGAGCTTTTACTTCATTGTGACTTTTATCTGAGTTTTTAACCCTCATTTCAAATCCTTTCTTTTGCGTAACTAAATTTGTTTGATATGTTACTCGAAGATGTTGTCCTTTAGAAGCTTATGAATTCAATGATAGGTGACCTGTGGAACTAGAAGCATAAAACTTAGAACCAAAAGCACTGCGAAAGTAAAAGATTGGGTAGCCGCAATCAATGATGCTGGTCTTCGACCGCCTGAAGGTTGGTGTCATCCACATCGATTTGGCTCTTTTGCCCCTCCTCGGGGTCTGATTGAGGACAGTAGTCAAGCTCAGTGGTTTGTAGATGGTCGCGCCGCATTTGAAGCTATTGCTTTGGCCATTGAGGAAGCAAAATCAGAGGTCTGCTACCGTTAACCCGTTTTATCGTTGTTATTAGCATTACCTGATAATGTTTTATTTTTGGTGCTTGATGTTTGATGCAGATATTCATATGTGGGTGGTGGTTGTGCCCAGAGCTATATCTACGGCGTCCATTCAATTTTCATTCATCTTCCCGGCTTGATTTCTTACTGGAATCTAAAGCCAAGCAAGGCATTCAGGTAGTTGAATTGTACAAAAATTTAACCCATTCTATCTCTCCCCCTTCCCTCCTCCCTCTCGCTCTCTCATATATATATATATATATAGGGTTATGATCTGGTAGGAACCATTCTTAATATATGAACTAGGAACCCTGCTAAAATACATTTAAACATACTGCTACTCGAGCAATTTACTATATTATTTTTAGCAGTTTGATCACTACATCGATCATAACATTGGTTATGACATATTTTAGGACTGCATGGTTTCTATTTCCTACGTTAAACATATGATCGGTAAATTGATTCGCATCTTTACTGACATCTTTGTATTTGTGCAACAAAGAGTGGAGTAACTATTTTGGTATCTTTTGGTTGCAATGGTAGTCTCCCACTGCTTCACATCTAGTCATCTAAAGCAACGAAGCACAATATGCTATATGTGCCAACAATAAAAAACGTAACATTTAAACACAGATGTTGTTCTGTAGCCTTCCCTTGTTGTTAAAGGAAATGGAAACTTGGTGTGAATTGATACTGTAATTCAGAATCCAAATACAATTCGAAAAACAATAGACTGATACATAACAGTTTTTTTTACTAAAAGTTGGGGTGCATGTGAACTTGCACAACTTTTACCTGAATCAGCTTTCAAAGTGTATCATTCTAGAAAATAAGCACATCTGAGAAGATCTGTACACGGTGCTGAGAAGAATTCTAAACTATCACCCCAGTTTCAGTGTCTTTTTTTTTATCAAGCCCTTCTGTTTTCATTTCTAGCACATAATTCACCTAGTTTATTATTCTTTCCATCTGTGTGTTTGTTGACACTCTAATATTTGGTGATTTTGGATTATCTATTGGTTAGGTATATATTCTTCTATACAAAGAGGTTTCTTTAGCTCTCAAAATAAATAGTGTACACAGCAAGAGAAAGCTTCTGGGCATTCATGAGAACATCAGAGTACTTAGATATCCAGACCATTTTTCCACTGGAGTCTATCTATGGTATGCTTTTCATCATTGTTATGTTTTAGTTATGATAGTTTTATTAGCCAGAT